GGACTATAAACTGAATGTNACAGGTTATTATTCAAAAACTATATACAGTAGGAGAAACGGGCCAAAAATTTCACCTAATGAAGTACTTTACTTGAGTAAAGTACCCTCAATATATAGTTTCCAGCAAAACAGTATTTCATGAATTTTTTTTACAAAAATTTTGGTTTCATTTTTTTGGATAGCATTTTTCTGCTTCAAAAGCAATTGCTGTTTGTTAGCGTGTTCTGGCTAACCAAGGGCAGGAATTGTATTAATAAATAATTAGTATAACGGAGAACTTAATACACGTGTAGAATACAGAGATGGCAAACATTTTAGTTCACCAGTTTTCAACATTGTAAACTAATAAAGTCTTAAAAAGACACTGACAATGATACATACACAAAGGTACACCTACCAAAGTGTTAAGTGAAAAGTAAATTTAAAACCGAAATTTATTTCATTTATGAAAATCAACATTTTACAAGATGTGATGATTGAAGAAATTTTCTTAAAAAGCATTTTGTTAGAAACTTCAAAATGAAGATACTTTACTCTAATGAAAGATGTGAATATTTTGCCTTTCATACACACTGTATAAAATTTTCAAGGAAAGTACAGAATGATCATTTATCATAAAAAGTGGACTTTTTACCTCACAACCGAATAAGAATAATGATAATATCCTCCTCCATTTGCACAACTACCCATTGAAATAACCCATCTCGGTTCCGGCATCTGATCATAAACCTTCCTCAGAGCCGGGGCCATTTTATTGGTTAAAGTTCCTGCTACTATCATGACATCTGCCTGACGAGGGGATGCTCGAAATACGACACCATACCTTGAAAATAACACAAAAGTGATGATATCTGGTTTGATTTCGAAAGTTTTGAAGACAGAGAGAATATGCTTCATTGTAGACATGTTGAGATTATGATTACAGAGCATATCAAAAATAATAATAACTGAAGGTGTAAAAAACCAATTCAAATTTTAAAAGCCCCAATAAGGTATAAAACACAAATACAAAAATGTAATGAATCAAATTTGAGAAAATAATATATACCTATAACGAGACCTATAATACAATTACAAAGGTTTGAAACATGAGCGAAATAAGAATAATAAAATATTCAATACAGCATAAGAAAGTTACTGAGCCATTGAAACATTGTTAAGATGGCAGTTAGTCTTATTAATTAATAGATTTTTCATTGCCCCTGAGAGGTAGGAATATGTTTTGAAAAAAATGTTTAAAATATGTTTTTTCCGTTAACTGGCTATCGCAACCCTACAAACCACAACACTTGTAAGTCAAAACTTGTGCGAGCTTAACGAGGTCTTATTTTTTAACGTGTGATTCCTAACACGGGTTGGACGATAGCAAGTTAAAATCGAGCGTTCAGCCTGGGGCTTGAACTATCGATTCGCACATCGGCCGATTGACTGAGTGAACAAAGCACCCATGTCGAACCGCCCGGCTACCAACCGAGCGGTTGATTTATCACTTAAATGATTGGTTTTTACAATGGATGTAAAAGTAAAACTGAAAAGAATCATCAAATAAAGCACAAGTAGGTCTAATATTGATATCTTCAAAAGAAATTGCAGTGATTTACCTTTAACTGAATCTGTTTTCCTGTTTCTTTATAACGGTACCAGTCTCTCTCTTGGGAATTGGGGATTTTTTGGAATATTTTATATTTACGTAATTTTTAGAGGAAGTTTACATCGCTCGACATATGTCAAATCAAAGTTGTCTGGTTGTCAATGTCATATGAAATATGTGAGAAACAGTGTTGTAAATGCCACGATGTCACAAAATAAAGATATTCTTTGAATGACATTATTTTTTGTAGATGAATGGACCTGTACACTGATGTTGGAATAACCAAATAGGTGAAAACTATATGTTTAATAGTTCTTCATTCAGTATATTATGTTTTATTCTAAAGGAAATCGGCAGTTTAATACAACATAATAACAGAATAAAGAAATAAAAATTCACGGAAGCCAACACAAAAAAAAAACAACTTCAGTAAAAACTAGACGAAGAAACTCCTTATGATCCCAGACGCTCAGCAAGCTCATCCACCTAGGGGTGCGTTAATTATTAAGGTCGGATCATATCGCTGCGCCTGTAGAACAATAAATAAGGAACTCACGTTGCCTGGAGCTTCAGCACGTATTCTCCCTGCACGATCTTGATCGAGGAATCATCGTACCTCGTTTCATATTTCTCACAAGTTTCTGTCAGAATGTTTGCAAAATCGAGTAAAAACGATGGTCATGACGTCACTAACATTTGATATGAACTTAGCAACACCATTTATATTCCATAATTTAAATGTATTCTTCTTGTATTGTTGTTATTCTGTCCACAAACATTTTTGTGTCACTTCATCCTGATGAATGTACCTATCTCTAGAACAGAAAATCTACTCATACGAAATAAAGAGCAAACTCAAAAGTTCACCCCGATAATAGTTACTGCGTAATATTCTTAATACTTAGCTTCTTGAAAACGGCTGACGTTTCTGGAAATAGTCTTCATTTTTCAAACCCAACTGGATATAAAAAAGCATATCTATTATAGGTACATGCTTTATGCGATGAAAATTATGAAAAAGTACCTTAGTTCTGACAAGTCTAGCGATTCTTTGACCAACGAACAATTCTTTGTCAAAAATAATTGAGGTTAGGTATAAGTTTGAAAAGCTTCAAATTTGAATTTTTTCCAAATATGGATTTTCCTCGATATGAATTTTGTAAAGAAAATAACTCGTTACTGATGGAGTTTATGAAAAAAGCCGAGGAGAACAAATCGAATGTATTTTGTGACCATCAAAAATATAATTTATTATCAAAATTTCTTCCAAAGGTACATTTTAATGATTTACTGAATGCAATGTTATAAAGCAAGATTCCATAGTCGCCAGAGTTACTTCATTTCAACAAACCTAATACTTTTGACAATAAATAGGTGTAATCGTAGTTGAGAATGTATGCATACTAGCTTATAAGTGGACTTCTTCAACATGGTAATATCAGCTCATTGATATTAACATATCATCATACGAGTAGCAAGAGACAAGGTGTAGATTTATGTAGAAAATTTTTCAAAAAGTACAGTAATAAATTCAGTAAAAAACTCTTCATTTAAGACCCAGAATAAAAACATTCAAAAAGCTTGTAAAGAGTATATTCAAAACTGGAATTGTTGAAGACCTAAGTTATTTCTGGTGATACATCAGTTCAGTTGAAAAACAATTGCAATTCAGATATAGGGGGATCTATACTAACACACAAAAGTGGTCAATTATAGCAAAGAATGCAGGTACTGCAAAATCAAGAATAAATATTCATGCAAGCAATGACCTGATAAAAATTCAAAAGGGGACCTTCTCTTCTCAAATGACTAATTTGGAATGGCTTATTCACTGAATATCTAAAATGTACAGTTATTCCCTTTTTCAAGGGTGGTTACAAAGATGACCCAATAAACTTTGACCTCTCATTTGCTCCTACCTTATCCAAAATTATAAAAAGAAACACCGAAAACAGTTTATGAGACATCATTCAAAAGATTTCAATATGGAAGAAACTACTGCAGGTGTCCGTCAAGGATCCATTCTTAGACCCATATTGTTTTTATTGTAAACTGGAGGATTTTCATTAATAAATCAGTAAATATCAGAGCTGAACATAAGAGCTCCAATATATTATTTGTAGATGACATCACGTTGGTGTGATAGGAAAAAGTATTTTAAAAGTCAGTCTGAATGATGAAATTTTCGAGGTAAAATTGACATCTAAATACCTAGGACTTCATTTCGACGGTGAACTTAAATTTGAAGAGCATGTAATCATTTTCAATGAGAAACTTGCAACAGGTTTTCTTGCTATCAAGTCAGTTTCAAGAAAGCTGGGTACAAAATTTATGAAATGTGTTTATTTTGACTTTGTTTATCCATTTTCATATATGCCGTTGCTCTTTGCTGCTGCTAATTATGATGGTTCTACAGAAATTAATCCTCACTTTGATATCTATCTTTATTTTCAAAATAATAAATCTGATACAAAAAATATACCTATTCTTGACGACTAACCAATCACACTATAATACACATCTAGTTAACTTAATCAGACTTCTATGACAATGATGGCACTTGTGAAAGATTTAATAAAGTGGAATGAAAATGTACAAAAATAAATTTCCGTCAGCCTGAAGAGTCATTCCTTGATTCATTTAAGGAAAAAAAATTGAATGATATTCTGATTGAATTGAAGGTTGTAAAGATTTATATTAGTTTTACAATGACAATTAATTTTATGGATTGTAGAATTTACTTATATTATCTCTCTATAATGTGATATATATTTTTGAAGAAAGTTTTAATCTGTATACATGCCGTTTGTTTTGTTACAATGTTCATGACATAATCTACTTCATATACTGATCGATAGATAATTTTCTATTCTATACATTGAAGCTGTCCATTTTGTTACAAATTTTAATTTTCTGACTGTTTTCAACTTATTACTATATGATGTCGTTGAGCGATTCTCGGCAAATTTTTCTCTACGAATTCAAATTGAACCAAGGCGCTTTGCCAAAATAGCCTGAAAAATTATTCAGACATTTGGTAATGAATAGTATTAGTCCGTTCGACTTTGGTTTGCGAAATTTCGTTCCGGAGATATTAGACTCGAAAATGAGCCACAAAGAATTTGAGGACCCTAGTGGAGAATGACCCATCACAAACGGTGCGAGGGATTGCGGAAAAACTGGGTGTCGGCTAGAATAGTGGGTGTCCCACGAGTTAATGATCGACAGAAATTGTTACGTTTCAAGATCTGTTTTTCTTTGCTTTTGCACAACAAAAACGATCCTTGTTTTCAATTGAGATGTTCTTCACAAATGAATTTATTGGGTTTTGAGTATGGAAAAGAATGGTTTTCCGGAACATTACCCATCTGAAGGAAGCTGAGAATAGAAATTCATCTTTTTAACCGAAAGTGATGAAGAAAACTGTGACGCACCCTTCATTCAGTCACAGACGCAAGTGGATGATGAACTGGAAGAAATGCCTGAACAGAGTTTGCAAAATATGAATGAGACCACATCAGATGACATACTATACGCTATAAAGGAAAATCTAGAGACTGAAAACATTCTATCAACATCTGTGATATCTCATTTGCACAATTCCCATGTCAACCTGGAAAGTATTTTTTCCCATTTAACAGGTGTATTGAATGTGGAAGAAGTACTACATTTTGGGTCGTCCTTAAAATCTGAAGTAGTAAATAACGATATCATTTCATGTTATGTCCGGCATTTACTTTTAAAAAAGGTTGTATTGTCAATTTTAAATGAATTTAAGTTGAATCTACGCTCTGTTGAATTTCTAGCTGTCTGAAGAGTTTTCTGAACAACTTCAGTCTACCTTCAACGAATTTTGTAAAAAATACCCCAGTATACTGAAAGTAGAAATCTCAAGTATTTTAATGAACACAAAGGAGAGCTGTTCCAAAGTTTTCCTTCAGTTTTTAGATGGACTGGCAGATGAATTCAAATCAAGTATATTAAAGTGAGTTGAAATATTTATCAGTTGATACTACTTCATTGTAACTATTGAAATATTCAATACTTTTTTCAGGAACTTCATATTCAGCTGTGAGGATCTCCAGTTACATCACATAAGCCTTATCGATATTTTATTGAACAGTCAAGTAGAAATAGAATCATTGAATAAATTAGTCGAGATAATGTCCTTTGCTGCAGATAAATACACCACCGAAAAGACTTTTGGAAAATTATTAATGAATGCATTGAAATTACTAGGAAAAAATGTTGCCCTTTTGGAAAAGCCATTGAATCACATTATTGCATCACACAGGTCTGTTTGGAAATCAAAAATACAGAAAATTTTTGATGAAAACTTTGAAGATAATAGCATGGTGATGACTCAGTCATTCAGGTTTTAATATTTATTCCAAAGTAATGAAAACTCTATTTGTACTTTTGCATAGTAATAAATTGAACAAAACATTGCAATTTTGAATTTCATTATTTCATTGATTGCAAAATCATTGTAGGCGTTTAAATTCTGAAATGGATTTGAAAGTGTTCTAACTTTGTCATCAAATGATTCGAAAGAAATAGTTACTAGAAGAAATCAATGTTGCAAAGATGATATTTCAATGGTAAAATCTCCACAACAGACTCATCACTAATTATTGCAGAATACTGGAATTCAATTGACGCGTCAGTTTCAAACCCAGATAACTCACAAAATTGTTGATTTTGGGTCCATGTCATTTTCAATTAGGAAAAATTCAGAGCTACATCTATACTAAGTTATAATCATGGTGTGCACATATATTGTTTAAAAACAAGGCTAAATACATTTATTTTGCACTATTTCAAAACCAAATAAGTCCAATGATGAGTTTCAAAATCAAAAAGATTCTCCATACCACAATAAACCATATAGTGTGATTTCAACATATTATGAAAATGGTGACTGATATACACAAGGAAATAATAGGAGGGGATTTGACAAAAGGCTTATTTAGAAAGACAAAATCAGTAAAGGACTTAATTTAAAAGTTTAAAATACTGAGTCTCTACTGTAGGAACATCACGAAGGTAGTACATGAGTCTTTGAAATCTACTAGATACTCGTTAGGACAATAAGAGGATTGTTCCGAATTCTTGGGGTCCTTGTTGAATACTCTTCGTGAGCAAGAGCAGAATCAATACTCTTGACCACCCTGGATTGAATGATTCCGTATAGTCTATCTCGTCTTTTGTTTTTAAATATTTTTCTGGAAAAATCCTCACTTATTTACTTTGTAATAAATGTTCACGAGGTAGTAAAAACGTATGTGAATTTCTGGAACTTCAACTAGCGTTTCCTAATATCACTAATAACCAGTCCGTGCAAAGCTTATTGTTAAATCATCTGAAAATAGAACTTTTAACCGGTGATGATCGACTGTATTGCCAAACTGACTGTTATAAGAAAACAAGTATAGCTGAGGCACCAGTCAATCTAATAATAACACTGACGATCTTCAAACATGACTCAACCTCTGACGGATGCACCGAAATAGATGAACACTTCAATATAGCAGACCACTATTATTCATGCAGTCATTGTTCACTGTGGTTCTGGCTTTGAATCTGATCATTATCGCCGTGGTCAAAGACGAAACAGACTGGTTTAAGTTTGACGATAGTGTCTCTAAGTGTTCTGGCGATGCAGTGAATTTAGTGGAGCCTCGACACCCTACATTTTGTTTTATGAGAGAGGATATTGGCAGATCAAGACCTTCAGATGATGTGGTGCTGCAGGTTTTTGCGGGTTTTCCTGCAGCTGAAAAACCAAATGCGCCACTGGAATCAATGAAGTCGCCCCGGAGCGCCAATTAATTTTTGTTGTTGTTTCATAATTTGTATAAGAAAATAAATATTTCAAAATAAATTTCGGAATATTAATCTCTTGTAACTACCTACACACTAGGCTCTGATAAACGTCTTACGTTCCCGGCTAATACCAAGCTGGATATTGAATTATATCCGACATTAGCTCTCCTCGATAGTTCTCACTTTTGATTTTTTAGGTAGTATAAAGCTCAGATCTAATATCAAGAGAATGTGCCAAAGTGGATGTGAAGAGAAATGAGTTTTGAACAGACACAGACAGATCTGGATTTTTAACAATATTGATATTTGGGTTTCTCCCTGTATTTTGAGAGGAAAAACTTCTTTCGTTATTTTTCTAAGGGCTCTAGGAAAATTATAATTTACTAGATAATTCTCAATTAATTGGAGATTTTTGTTATGGCATTCAGAATTGGAAATGGCAATTGCTCTTGATTTGAAATTCCTTATGTTGTTTTACTCTGAAAATTATGGTTCCAAAAATAATTTAAAAATCTTTCGTCTCATGTCGTTTTGTGTAGGTGTTGTCTCGGAAATTTGTATGTTACCAATGTTTTTTATTTTTTTAAATATGTATCTAATCTGTCTGATGGTTTTTAAAAAAGTAATATTATCAACACGAAAAAACTACTTTTCGAGCCCTGAAGAATTTAAATAAATTCGAAACGTCGGCAAGAAAACAATTGTTTAAAAAAAAATTGATTCTGTTACTCAACCAACCTTTTTTTAGAAAAATTATTGGATCACTAAACTAGGTAACTGAATATATAAAAAAATGTCTATGTTTAAATTGAAAGGAGTTTTTCCCCACTCCTAAACCCCACAAAAAAGCCAAAATATTTTTATAGGGTCATCCTTCAACTTGAGCCGCCTTGATGAGTTTCCTGTATTCATTGACAACGAATTCATTCCTCCTGAAGTTGAATGTTTTGGTGTTATTAAGACCAACAGCCCCAATTCTGCAAACAATTAGGTAGCATCGCAAAGAGAACCTACACGAGCCTAAAAAAATAATTCCCCTTCAAACGAGATCTGGAAACTAGCAATAAAAAAATTCTTTGCATCTCTCTCGTCCTCTCGCATACTAACTATGCTGATATAGTTTATGGACCTTGTTCATCACATAAAGATTGCAAAAAATGCTAAATCAATGCATTTGTTTCATGAAGGCGGTTCCCCCTCAAGCACATATCACCCCCCATTATTAGAGAATTGCAACTTCTGAAATTGAATGACACGTGTTTCATTCACTACACTTGTCTTGTCAACAAGATCCTGACTACTGGACTACCCAAGTACCTAGCCTCAAAAATAGTTCAAAGGGGGAACATTCACAACAGATCACCGAGGAACACAAATGATAGATTTTCTATTTTTGTCCATCGTTATTTGCTAAATAATAAGCCTTCAAAGTACCGTAATTTATCTGCACCTACTCTGAAGAAAAATCCAAAATGGCTATCCTGAATGGGCAGCTGAATTCAATAAATTTTAGATTGGTGCCATTTCAAATGTACTTGGTCTTTTTCTGTAATTTTGTATTTTATGACAAAATAAATACTAATTATTATTATCACTTTGGAATAATTCAGACTATGGTGTATTTTTTGTGGGAAACCATCAGTATACATCTGATAAGATAATAAACGAATTTAGAAAAACTATTTATTGAAAAAATACAAAATCGTTGATTTGAAACTCCTGAAACTTAACAATATTCACTTAGGCAGTTGGACAGCATCAATTTCTGGTCTTACTCAGCTTTTATTCACTTTCCTGGTAATCACTGAAACGCCATCAACAAATTTGGTTCGGAAGAGCACGTTAGCATTGTTGAACATACCATCTTTCAGAGATACGATTATGAACTATAACAAAATAAATACAGGTTATGAACAGTTTCGTACACATTAAAGATAAGAATTAGGAATTGGCAGAAAAGCTGTTTTCAGTAGGTAAAATTAAATAATTTGATTGAATTTACTGGTACCTACGTGGTAAGTACTGGTAAATGCCTGCTGGAAAACAACTACTTCCCCGGCTAATACCACGATGGACATTGAATTATATTCAACAGACACTAATGAAAGATCAGCAGCAGGACCACGCTAAAATCAATTGATTACATCAACTACGGAACAGTTTTGGTATTACCTCAAAACATATATATTTCTCATCGATACAGTCTTCAGGCTTATCTTGATTTCTGTTTGATAAAATAGATCAATGAATGAAGAGTATTTGTACATGGGATGCGTCTTCTCCGCTTGAGTCTTTTTTCACCAGATGGAACTATTACTAGTTAACGATCTTGATCTTAAACAATAGTTGCATACATGCAGTCAAGCCGCGTTGAAGTCAACCGAGGATTTTTTCTGCACTGATAAGAGATGATCTACTCGATTGTTTTTAATGCGGTCCCACTGCTAGATAAACGAAAAACATCTGCAAGACCAACCATTTGCACGAACTTCATTGTCCGAGAACATTTTCTTTTACAAATTTTATACAATCATACATGTATGGGTATCGGGCCTAAGATTTATTGAGACTTTAAAAACTCCCTAAAAGGGTATAATGACTTTATTTGTAGAGCCTCTTTAATGAATCTCCTACTATACCAATGAGAAAATATGTTGAAAAAATGTAACTGATAGTTTTTTTAAAAGATTCCCCTATTTTTATATCCACTGAGAAATGGAAAACCAAAAGTTTTTTCTAGATAACTAATTGCTACCAAGAATACTTTTTCCTTAACAAGCATAATCCCAAGCTGAGAAATATAGACTTACCTGACTCTTTTTGAAATGTGATTTCAACATGTTTCCTATATTCTGTGTATGAGACAAATCTAATGCTGCGTCCACTTCGTCTAGGATGTATAGAGGAGCTGGTTTGAATAATAACATAGCTAATATAAGAGCTAATGCTGCTAGAGATCTCTGTCCTCCACTGAGCTCGGTTAAACTCTCCTTCCATACGCCACCCAATGATACTTTCACCTTCAATAATAGGGCACATTTCAGTATTTCGTTAAGAAGAGTTTATAGAAACTATATTTATGAAAATGAATGCAGATGAACAAACAGTATTATTTTTTATTTTTCTATATTTATCAAATTTCCGAAGGCATCAAACATTTCCATTCTTTTCTCTGACTCATATTTCATAGCATGAATAGATGATGAGCTCCGAGAAACTTTAAAAATTATACAAAATAATAAAAAAACAAGTAAATTCAAACAGCATTAATAGTAAATCATTCCCTTCAACATTCCCGGAGTAAAATATCGAAAACTCATCTCAATAAAGTACTTACTATTCAAAAATCTGCTTGAGAAATATAATTTATACGGAATTTGATGAAACTTGCAGACAGATATTCAAAGTTCTAAAAAATATCTCACTCATACTGACATTCAGCATTACAATACAAAAAACAGTGTGTTGAAAACGGATGAAAATGTAGGTATGTATTTAGAATCACTAAAAAAATTCGAGGACAATATAGGCCATTTTGGGAATGAACATTTTAAAACGTAACCAATTTTTTTAAATAATAGTAGAATAATGGTATTATTATATCACTATCAACAAATATGTAATGAAAAAACTAACCTCTAATCCCTGCAAAATTGTTTTTCCTGGCGGCGGTAGCAGTTTCGCATTGGCACCTGGTAAGAGAGTGGAAAAAATTGACCCAAAGTCTTTGGACACCTGCTCGTAGGCTAATTTCAAGGCATTCTCTTTCTGTTTATCCATCTCTGCTATCGTAGCTATGATTTTCTGTCTGTCTGCTTCGACAATTTTTTCTTTTTTACGAAGTTCATTGTACTAAAAAACAAAGCTATATACTCTGTTTGATATACGTTTAAAAAAATTACCAGTTTTTCTTCGTGTTCAAACATACTCTGCGCTTTCGTATTAACGACTCTACCGAGCTTGAGTTTTTTCTCTTGGTTGGCTTTAATACGAGCTTCCAATTCTGAACCTTCTTTTCGAGAGAGCTCTTCTGCTTTCTGCAAATTCGGGTTGTTGCTTTTGATTTTCTTCGACTGTTCTTGCTCCTGGAAATATTTTGAAGGGTGAAAAAATAGTCAAAAAATAATTAAATTATTGATTTGTTTACCCACACGAGGCAATTTGATTAAACAGCTTTCAAGGGCATACGAAACAGTATTTATGAAGTGTATAATACTTATAATACACTTTTTGGAAACTTTGGTGTAGTAATGAATATTACTTGAGTTTTTTCCCAACACCGAATCGTTATTTTCAACACCTCAACACGTGTTTCGATCACCAAGTGACCATCTTCAAGATGTAGATCAAACTGATCTTCCTCTTGGAGATGGTCACTTGGTGATCGAAACAAGTGTCGAGGTGTTGAAGAATTTGATGATTTACACAATCAAAAGCTGAAGTAAGGTCAGTGAAAACACTTATATATTTATCTTTGTTATCAAAAGCCATTTTTATGTTATCTGTTAGGGTGTTTATTGCCTGGGCAGTAGACATGCCTCTTCTGAAACCAAACTGATGGAAACAATTAGTACCCGGCCTGACCTAGAAAAATATCAATGTATAAGAAAGTATTTAAAGTCCACTAGATACTCGTTAGGACAACAAGAGGATTGTTTCGAATTCTTGGGGTTCTTGTTGAATACTTTTCGTGAGCAAAACAATAGAAAAATCAATACTCCTGACCACTCTGGATTGAATGATTCCGTACAATCCATCTCGTCTTGTGTTTGTAAAACTTTTGCTGGAAAAATCCTCACTTGTTCACTTTGTAGTAAATGTTCAAGAGGTAGCGAAAACCTATGTGAATTTCTGGAACTTCATCTAGCTTTTTCTAGTATGACTAATAACCAGTCCATGCAAAGCTTATTGTTAAATAATCTGAAAATGGAATTTTCAACAGGTGATGATCGACTGTATTGTCAAACATGCGCCAAACTAACTGACTGTTATAAGGAAACAAGTATAGGTGAGGCACCAGTCAATCTAATAATAACACTGATGATCTTCAAACAAGATTCAACCTCTGACGGAAGCAAGAAACTCTTTTGAAGGTTCGAAATAGATGAACATTTCAATCTAGCAGACCACTATATAATATTCATGCAGTCATTGTTCACGGTGGTTCTGGCGTTGAATTTGGTCATTATTACGCCTTGGTCAAAGACAAAACGGACTGGTTTAAGTTTGACGATAGTGTCTCTAAGTACTCTGGAGATACATTGAATCTATTGGAGCCTCTGGAGACACCCTACATTTTGTTTTATAAAAGAGAGGACATTGGTAGATAAAGAACTTCAGATAATGTGGTGCTGCAGGTTTTTGCTGCAGCTGAAAAAGCAAATGTGCCACTGGAATCAATGAAGTCGCCCCGGAGCGCCAATTAATTTTCATTGTTGTTTTTATTTTTATTGTTGTTTTAATCTAATATATAAAAATGGATGTTTGTTGGTTGGTTGGTAAGTGATAAACTTCTACATTGCTCAACCGATCGTGATGAAACTTGACATGTATAAGTTATTTTTCATAGAGAAGGTTTTTAGGCTATCAATTTTTCTATAACTCGCCACTAGATGGCGCTGTAGAACAATTTTTTTGAAAGCACTGTTCTATAACGCTGCGCACGGCTCAGTTCGTTGATTCAGATTCTGTCAAAATATTGGAACAGCAGTGATACAGCAACATAGTACTAGTAAATCTATAAAGCATATGTTTCAAGTTTGAAGACGTTGCGTTGTTTAGTATTTGTTTGGCAGCCGTCAATAGCGAACGTTTTAGGAGAATTTGTGAAAATGGAGATAATTGGTCATCGTTATGTGGTACAATACTTGTTCCTTCGTTTACAACAGAAAAATATTGGATAGCAGAGATTGAACGAGGCCGTACGAGCTGCCAGCACGAGCATAGCAGTGGTTAACCAAATGAGATGACGACTCCAGAAACGGTGAAGAAAATTCCTAAAGCGGTACTGAATGATCATCGACTGAAAGTGCGCGTGCTAGCAGACTTAGTAGGCATTTCAAAAAGTGTGGTCTTTGTACTCTCAAGCAATGGACAAGTTTCCAATGATGCCTGAAGAAATCTGAAAATGAAACGAACAATTCTAAGTTTTGCATGTCAAATATCACATCAGGGGTCGTCCATTAATCACGTGATGTTTTTCAGCAACTTGTTGACCCCCTCTCCCCTTTGCTAATGTTTGGTGAGGTTTTGGACTACCTTTCCCCCTAACCAAAATCATGTGTATCTTTTTGAAACAAAAAATCAAAATATTATCGTCGAATTTATAAAACAAAGAATATTATAGAACTGACAGATACTTGATTAAAATCCATTACAAAGTATTCAAAAAACAAACTTTAATGTAAGATTTACATTTGAATACAATACCATGTACGGACGTCACAATGATAGATGGATGGATAATTATATTAATCTCCATAAATCATTTACACGACATGAGATGAGTCCAATCGTAGTCATAAAGATAAGACAAATGAATATAAAAGTTTTCATAATCAGGTATTTACACGTAACTACAGTAAGTAATTGATGGAACAAATGACAAATATAGGTCAAGAGTTGGATGCCAACTTATTATAAAACTTGTTAAAAATGTAAAATAAAATGTACATATGAAACATATTGAAATTGTGTGAAATTGTCTATAGCTCATTGGATGTAGTTCTAATATTCAACTCAATGCATTCAGTTAATGAATTGAAGGAGTGATGAAGCAAACAATTTTTTAGGTCAGATTTTTGTATTGAGGCATTCTGTAAAAATGATTTTTTTCAATCATCAAATTTCAATGAAAAAAAAAACAGTTATTTTGAAATAATTACCCTTATCTTGCAGTTTTTCAAATTATCTTCAAGTTTTTTGATTTCGTGGTTGTGCTCTTTTATTTTCAATTGAATTTCATTATTTTTTGCTAGCAATTCTTCCCTCTTTCGGTTATTCTTTTCTATATTTTTATTCTTTTCCGCAATCAACGTCTTGGCTTTCTTAACTTCATCTTGAAGGTTTTTCACAAGTTCCTGAAAATTTTTGTTTTGTAATTCAACATATTTGCAGGTGGCAAACTTACGCTCAATTCAGTGATACTGGAGGCCTGCTCTTGATACTGAGCTTTCAATCTGACAATATTCTCTTCGCAAGCCTGAATTTGTGCCTTGATATTCTCAAGTCCCTTCTTCAGTTCCGATATTTCCAAGTTCAGAGTTTCATAGTCCTGTTCCCTTTGCTTCCATTCCTTTCTACTTTTATCAGCCTTCAATTTCATTTTCTTCATTTCCGATTCTGCTTCTTTTAATTGTTTCTCTCTATAGCCTTTAGAATCTTTCATTTTGTTTTCCAATTCTTTGGCCTTCTTATTGCACCTATTTTCGGTTTCCTGGCACATTTTTACTTTCTCCATCAACTCATCTGAAATAAAAAATTAATTTATGTGGTAGGCTCCAAACACCCTATAGAATGTATGTTTAACTAACCCGAAGTGGCTATACACTGGGAAAGCAATACACAAAAAATAGGGTCCTATATAGTTTCTACTAGTGTAGTGCACAAATTATGTAATTACTTTGTCTCTATATAAAATTACATCATACTGAATAATACTTAAAAGCTACTGCTATATTTCTAAATTTCAAGTGTGCCTTTGAAACAATTAATAGGAAAACTTTAATCAATGAACTGAAGTATTATGGTGTAAATAGAAAAGCATTAAACTGGTTACATAGTTATCTTGAGCAGAGAAGTCAAAGGACTAAAATTTGTGATGTAATGTCAGATCAAATTATAAATGACATAGGTGTACCACAAGGCAGTGTTTTAGGACCACTGCTATTCATTATTTATATAAATGATATCAACTATGTACCTGGTTCACACCATATTAATTTATTTGCTGATGATACCCTTGTATATATGGAAAATATATCAATATATCATTAAAGAACAAGTGAATGAACTCAAATTAAATATCAATAAATCTAAGGCAATGATTGTTATAACAAATTCGAATCAAAGAAAGATTGATACTGATGACGTTGATATCAGCGTATTCAATAATCAACTCACAATTGTAAACGAAATAATTCATTATAGACCATAAATTAAATTTGAATAAGCATGCCGAATACACCATTAGAAAGATTTGTAAGAAAATGTTTTTCTCTAGAATTTCAAAATCTTCATCAACCTTTACTAGACTAACATGTTACAACTGCATAATGAGACCACACTTTAACTACTGTGCTACACTGATGTATCTATTCAACCAAAATCAAATGGGACAGTTGCAGAAACTACAAAATCGAAGTATGAGAATCATTTTGAGATGCAACCAGTATACCCCTATTGAATCTATGTTGAATACTCTACAGAGGCAGCCGGTACATAAAAGACTAATAGACATTTACTTCTCACCTTCTATATTTTTCAAAATATCTTGTTTAACTTTATATCATAAATGACTGAATTGTGAGTTCCAAAAAGTAACTTTCTCAGTTTTGACCTCTTAGATTTTGTGTTTCAGTTTTCAATTACTAATTGAATTACTAATTTGCACAGTTTTCCAAAAAGATAACTGTCAAGTAACATACCTATTTGAGTCTTCAATTTGTTAACTTCCTCTTGCTGTCTGTGATGAGTCGACTGTTGCAGCCTTTGACGAACTAAATTAAGTTCGTGACGATTCAAATCGAGCTTTTCCTTCATTGAGTTGTAACTTTCTTGAGCCCCGCTCATATGTTGGAGTTCAAGATTGATTTTTTCCAGTTCCCTCTCTTTCACTTTCAATTGATCCTAGAATGTAGACGATATAGTTGGGTTCAAAAATAAAATAGTTTATCAAAATGTCTACCTCGTATTGCTGCATTTCTGACAGCTGTAAAAGTATACTTCCTCCCTTTTGGGGAGCACCTCCGCTCAGGGTACCTGAAGGATCTGTCACATCGCCGTCCAATGTAACGCATTTCCTTCTGATTCTATCGTGAAAAGTAACTTGTTTCGCCACATTTATATCCTTACAAATGAAGACGTTTCCAAAAATGAATTCCATTGCATTTTGGAGTTCTTTGTTGTATTTCAAGAGCGAGAGTGCTGGTTTGCAGTTTTCTTCTCCAACCTGAAAAGAGTTTATGAAAAAATTGTAAAAGGGATACAACATATCTCTTCGGGATGTATCAAAGATGTGTGGGTGGAAAATAGCCGCTTTCATATTTGAGATAGGGAAAATGTTTTATAAAAGTTATAACTGGAACCTCTGGCTTAGAATGAATACAAAACAAGCACCTTTCGACGAGCATTGAGCGCCACATCATTGATAAATCCAAAAATAAGCAGATACAGAAATAGTTTCTTGAATGGAATGACCAATTTAATTTACGCAAATGAGTTTTTTCAGAGGGACATAAGTTCAATTATGATTTTGAAGCATAACATTCAAAAGAAATAAGATTAAAATTCAATATTTGAAAGTGATTAGAAAATTTAAAGTGTTCAAACATTCGAAACAAA